TCATTTATTTTTATTATTCTTTTCTGACTTCCCTCCCATACTTTGAGTAAAGAGAACTAGACATAAAACTGATCTAATATAGAGCACAGCTGTCATACTTTAGGGGTATTTGCATGTTTTGCCCTGGTTAAATAAAATAAGAAACATACTTTTTATTCCTAAATGCAGTTATCACTAAAGCTTACACAACTATAGTTCAAGCATATCATCATGAACTACTAGTTATTATGGCTCTCGAATCTCACTTGGGATTGCTGTAATAGTGTCTTCCATGTCATCATCCAATCGGCAGTTCACCTAACACTAGTTCAGGCCATAATCGCCTACTTGTTTATGAGAATGTCATAAAATCACAATTCTTACTGAAAGTTATATTTAATGTATTATTTTCTCATGATCTATTTAGAAAACTAAATTAGTGATCAAGACTTGGTAGTCCTAAAACCATTCTGGTTGCTTAGTAGTATTTTTTTAAGCGGACAACAAGTTGGAACACTGGACATGCCCTGGTGTCAATATTAAGTCTAATTACCAAGGTCATATTTTTGTTTTAAAAAATGAATACAACACTGCCCTGTCCTAATCATCAGAGACTTTTCTAGACCCCTCAGCTACAATTTTTACAACACTTTGAAAAATCACATAAATATGCAGCACCCCCAATATTTCTGAATATCAACATACCTTCTAGACAAAATTTGTTTAAAAAAATTAAATCTTAAGTATTTAATGAAAAAGGATTTTAAGATACTTGAGTTAATAACACAAGATCCAATGAATTCAAATTAGAATCAAGTAACATTTTTCTCACTTAAAAATGAAAGCTCATTCTTATTTAAGAGATTTTAAGTCTGTATATTATTTAGAGTTTTTTCTTCCACTTGTTAATATTAAAGACAGCCTTTTGGCTATTTATTACATCTTAGTAGATTCATCAGATTAATCAGATAGTGATCAGTAGGGAAGAGATGAAAACTACAGTCAAGCCTGTGTTATTCAAAAATACTCAGCTGCTGGGTACCAGAGGGGAGGGGGTGGGAGGATGGGTGAAGTAGGTGATGGGGATGAAGGAGTGCACTTGTGATGAGCACCAGGTGAAGCACGGAATCACTGAATCACTATACCGTACACCTGAAACTAAGATAACACTGTATGTTAACTATACTGGAATCTATAAAAACAAACAAAAATATATAGTCACAATTTTAATTACTCAGTTCTGTTCCAAATAATTTCACAATAAAACAGTACATTGAGCATATTTCTACTGTTAGTAACCTGAAAAATATTCAGTGTACTAGTAAATAGAAAATGGTTTATATCATTAGCTAGTTCCATAAAAGAATATGGTTAAAAATTTTAGGCAATAGTCATAAAAGGTCAACTCACATTCTAATGATGAACTGAAAATTATTTTTATCCTTACTTCTCTCTTTTTGTGACCAACTCCCATCTATATGAAGCATCACTCATGCCTGGTCTTTAATTAGGACCAATGTTCAAATAAGATAGTTATGCCAGAAGTACACAACAATATGGAGAAATTTAAACATCCTGAAAACTGAAGAAATCTGAACTATACAGAGCAGGTACTAAAAAGCCCGCCAGGACCCTGGGCACTGGCAAGGCTACCACTGCAAAGGCCTAAAATTTCCTAAAAGATAGGCAACATGTAAGAGAGAGGGAGGTTGGCATGGGTAATAGATTCTTCCCAAAATCCAGCTCCAGATCCCAAAACACTTGAAGTAAAAGGTCACTTAACAGCTCCTTGATAAGAGATTTCTTCCAAATGAATCTTATAGTCAGAGGACAGAAGACCTAGGCCAGCTAGCATGCATAGGCTGCCATGTACAGTAACAGGCACTCCAATTTCCCATTCTGCTCTTCCTGCAGAAAGCACGGACTCTTTGCTACACTCCATGAATGATAACCACAGTGCACATCTAGATTGTAAGATCAAGTATTGAATCCTAGGCATAATTTTGATGCAAAGCATGAAAGAAATAATTTTTATCTTTTTTTTTTTAAAGATTTTATTTATTTATTTGACAGAGAGAGACACAGCGAGAGAGGGAACACAAGCAGGGGGAGTGGGAGAGGGAGAAGCAGGCTTCCTGCTGAGCAGGGAGGGGCTCGATCCCAGGACCCTGGGATCATGACCTGAGCTGAAGGCAGATGCTTAACAACTGAGCCACCCAGGCGTCCCAATAATTTTTATCTCTTTATCAATATTCTCTATTTGATGAGTCACTGCCATTATATATGCTTTTAATTCTTTAAACAGGATTTCCTTTAGTTCTTTGAACACAGCTGCTAAATCCAATATCTGGGCCTCCTCAAAGACAGTTTATAGTAATTCATTCTTCAATCGTATGGGTTAGATTTTCCTATTTCTTGCATGTCTCATACGTTTTTGTTGAAAACAATATTTTAGATAAAAACTGCAACAACTCTTGATTTTGACCTTACCAGGGTTTTGTTTTTGATTATTTGTTTAGTGTCCTGCCTGCACTAATGCCTGAAGTCTGTTTCCCTTGCCCTGTATAGTTTCTGATGTCTCCTGTTCCTTTCTTTTTTTAAAAAAAATTATTGTTTCTACTTTTAAGTCGGACTCATAGGGGCTGCCCCTGGGTCAGCATAGGTTAGTGACCAGCAAATGACTGGTCAGAAAGGCTTCTTCCATCTTTTGCCAATGGATCTATGTGTGACTTGGAATATACGTTCAAAGTTTATCCAGTTTGCAAGCCTGCCCTGAATATTACTTTCTGCCTTCACAAGGCCTCACATTCAGCCATGGACTAGTGGCTCCCTAAGGGCCTCTCCAGTTTTTCCTGAACATATTTACAACCTTACAGATACACATAATGTTCCAGACTACTAGGGGTAAGTACAACTTTATCAAGACCAACTTTGGCTACCTGGACCCTGGATCTTTGTTATCTGTCCCAACAAGTAGTTAGACCTCAAGCCTTCTCTTATTGGTTGCCAGTGGGATCATTATTGTTTCTATTAATCTCCATGTACATGGGATTTCCCATGCTCTGCTCCATATAGCCAGTCTCTTCCGGCAGCCAAGCTGCCGCTCTCTCAGCATGACTGCCCTAAGAAGCTGGGCACTGGGAGTTCCGGACAAAATGCCCGATTCCCACTGCCCTTATTGAGGCTCAGTAGATTTTCTCGATAAATGCTTCTTGATTTGTTATATGCCTTTGGTCAATTTCTAGAGTCTTAAAATTGGCGTTTTTGACAATTCTGTCTAGTTGTTGCTTTGTGGAAGAGGATTTGCTGAGCTCCTCACTCAGCCATTCAGGGGTCCATGCAGACTTCCTCAGGACCTCTGTGTCAATGTGTGTCTGAGAGGGGTGATATTAAGCCAAGACCCCAAACCCCCTCTTGTTTTCTGCTGATGGAAGCCTTCGCGTGTAGGTTCTCTCATCTTTGAGATGGAAAGTAGAATGAGAGTGACTCCTTGTCCTAATATTTAATATGACTTAGGGATAAAACTAAAATAACATCCTGATCATCTCAGTAGCTTCTGGAGCTAATATCAAATATACTCTTATAAAAGGTCTTGAAGTTCTGACCACTTGGTCCTATCAGTCTAAATGTATATATAAGAGAAGTGGCAAGGAATATAAAGAAATCTCAAAAAAAATGTATAAGCAGAACTTTTCTGATACTCTGCTTAACTCTTACTTGAGGGGTACCAAAATAGTCCCAGGTAAGCCATTAACATTGCTTGGTGAACTGGAAAAAGAACCAATATTGAGGTTTACAGCAAACTTTAAATACAGACCAGTGCTTTTCAAAATGTGGTCCTTACACTAGCTGCATTAGAAGCATCCATGATATTTCTTAAAATGCAGATTTCTAGGTCTCACCTTCTAGGTAAAGATTTAGAATCTAAGGGGGTAGGAAGAAGAACTCTGTATTTTTAAGATGCAACCCAGGTAATTATTATGCATACAAAAGTTGAAAATCAGACACTTTCCTTTATCAACCCTATCCATTCTTACCCATATCAGAATCAATTATATGGATTAAGAACCAAAATTGAGATGTTAATCCATATAGTAGCAATCTGGAGAATAGAGCTTTAAGTAAATAATAATAATAAAGGTAAAAAGTCTTCTTCAGGGTGTGGACTTTCCTGGATCTCCTTTTTCCTGTTTGGATTGCTTCTTCAAACTCACCTGTAATATGCTACTTCCCTTGATGAGAGGCCCAGGTTGCCTGTTGGTTGGGAAGCAGTAGCTTTGGGAAAGGAGTTCACATTTATACTCTGTGTAAGGGACAAAAGAAGTCCTCACATGTTCATAGAATATCTAGCCTAACTTATCAGGTAAAGATCAGAAAATTCAGTCTAAAACTCAAGTTAGCAATAAAACATATTCCATTATCTGGAGCTTTTTTCTTATACTTGTTTTTCAGGAAACCCAGGAAGGTGGAAGCCATGTAGTAATAAGCACCAAAGAATTCAGAGAACCGTTAAGTTACATAAACTCACAATTTATATTACTTTTAATACCACATTCTATGGCAACTGACATAGACCTTTTAAAAATCTTCATGACATTTGCTAGCATAATCTTGCAAAAATTTTGTTATTACTAACATTTATGAAATGTTAGGCTAGAAGAACAGTTTTTCTTATGTTATTAAAAAAAAGCTTACTCATGGTCTAAAATTATGGAAACTGTTGTTTGAATGAGAATAAATATGCCTGAAAATAAGCCCTGGATATGTGGATTGGCAGGACAGCCAAATACACTATAAATCTTAAGTAATTAATTGACTATATTTGTTTTCATTGAAAAGTTGCAGTAATGCAATCATTGAAGTATTTTAATAGGATTTTATATAGTGAAAAATAAAACCTATTAATAACTAATTATTAATTTGAGTCTAAATTTCCCACAAATCCAGCAGATTAAAAAGCAGGTTACATTTATGCCAGCTGTGAGAAAGATCTCAACACGCTGCATTAATCTAGCTCATACCTATACTCTGGGTCACTGTCATAGGCAGAGTCTCTGTATAAAAGACCTCTTTTCAGTTCCAGTTCATCTTCTTTCTCTGGGTCTCTCTCATCCTGAAAAATTTAAAGATTTCCATTAATTCATTTTATAATTAAAATGATGCCTCTGTTTCTTTGGGAAATGTCCTCTCTCTCCCCCATTATAAGAAATGAATTAAATGCTTGGATTTCTTAGGAAAGAAAAAAAGAGTAGGTGAGAATTCATTATTCTGTTCAATAAAATATAGTTTTATTATATTTTTCTAATAAGGCTTATCAAAGACGAGACACCTGGTAGATGTTTCCTGCATCAATAAATGAACAGGAATGGCTACTGTATGATATGTAGTAAGATATATAGTAATACCTTACACATTGTTATGTGAACTCCTAAAAGATTGTTCCTGCACTCTGAAGAATAAGTACCTGGGAAACTTATGCAAATGTAAGCATTCTAACATGTACCTATTATTCATAAGCTAAAATGCAACAATAAGCCACAAGAAACAAAAATGAAAGGCAAGGTAGTTGGTATCAAAATACATGGCTACTCCTCTTATGGGCAGCCTGTTCTTAACTTCTAAAAGACACATTCCAGGACATAAGAAATAGAATTCTAAAGAGATAGATTGCAAACTATATCATCCACTGCAACTATGTTCTTATGTATGGTAATTCTGTATAATTTAGTATCAAATATCTTTCATGACTACTAGCCAAAACCCTTGTCCCTTAGTGGGACAGGAAAAGACATAAAGACAACTAGATAACAAAAGAAGCTAGTAAGCACAAACAGATTGCTATAAGGATTAGTATTAATAAGGGAGTCATTTACTTTATGTGAGAAACCTGCTGAACAAAGATTATGAAGAAAAATGTTTCTAAAAAAATTTGCGGATGGCATGAAATTGGGAAGAGAGCATTCAGTTAAAAAAATGGAAGCAATAAAATATAGAGCAAGTCTAAAAATCACAGAAAATGTGAATATATATTTAGAATTGTTATAGCTTCTAGGTGAAACTGAACCCTTTAAATTATGAAGTAACTCCATTTATTTCTATTAATGCTTTTTTTCCCTTAACTTTTTTTGATTTACTGTTACTGTAACTACAATAGCTTTCTTAGTTAGTATTTGGATGGCATTTATCCTTCTATTTTCCATCTTTCCTTATTATTAGGTTTTAGATCTTGTTAAATATCATATAGCTGGATGTTGGTTATTTTTGTCCAGTCTGATGAGTCAGTGAAGTGGAGCATTAACATTACAGAAAATGTAATTGTCTGTAATGAGTGCAAAAGACACTACAAAATAAAGTGTAAGAAATTTTTTTTTTTTTAAAGATTTTATTTATTTATTTGACAGAGAGAGAGAGAGAGCACAAGTAGGCAGAGAGGCAGGCAGAGGGAGAGGGAGAAGCAGACTCTCCATCGAGCAGGGAGCCTGACATGGGGCTTGATCCCAGGACCCTGGGATCATGACCCGAGCCGAAGGCAGCCGCTTAACCGACTGAGCCACCCAGGTGCCCCTAAAGTGTAAGAAATTTTAAAAAATCTAATATTTTTTCAACTTCAGAAAGATTATGCTACAAGAAGCACTGAATGAAAGAGATGTAAATAATATCTAATTTTTAATTCTTTCCTTGGAAAAAGCTATTCACTTCTGGATTATATAAGTGATATCACACATAAGCATAAATCAATATTCCTTGTTTAATTTTGTCAATACAGTTGAAAAAATTAATTTTTGACCAACAGTAATAAAAAGCATTGACTAAATTTTAAAGTTTACATATGAAAAAATATATAAAAGTACCTTAAAAAATCTGAACCTTATTAAATAAATCCCTATTTTGAGTTGGGTACTTACTATCCTATGAGATAAAAAAATGACCAAGATATGGTTCCCGTATACCTGAGGAACAAAGTTGTTTATTCTATGAAGTTCTACAGGTAATAAAAAGGAACAAGGGCAGAATTATTAGGATACAGAGTAAAGGACAAAATAGGGAAAAATGTTCTAATTAATGGAGCATTCTAAAATCAGAATGACTGCCTTTAGAGGAAGTAAGACCACAATTACTGAAACTGTTCATGCGGAGCATTGATACACATCTAGATCAAGAAGTTCATGAAAGGGAATTCTGCCCCAAGAAACACAAAGTTAAGACTATATTTTGTGACATTTTATATATATTCAATACATATACATATCTCTTGTAGGAGTCCTGTTATAGTCTTTCTTTTAAAGGTCAAATTATATAAAAGCAAAGAGGCAAAAAAAAAAAATCACACATTATAAGCTATTAACTATCAGTAAAACAAGCATTTGAAGAGATGTATCATTCTCATTAGTGCCAGGAAATACATTCCTGGGGCAAGGAAAAATGATTCCCCTCTTATTCCTTACCAACATTCCCATTTGCCAACATGTAAATACAGAAAAAATGGATGACACCAATATTTGCTGAGTTCCTGTAAGGTATCTAGGACTGTGTTAGGTCCTCTTTACATGGGTATCATTTAAGCATTTAATAACCTTATGAAATAGGAGGTACTGAAATCCAAAAAATTAAATAACTTGGCCAAAGTCATACATTATTAAGTGGTAGAGCTGGAATTGAAACTCAGATCTAACTTGATTTACATTATACTGCCTCCTACGATGCAAATGAAATTAAAACCTCCATCCCAAGCCATTAGATTACTCTCCTATATGAAAATTAGGCTCAAACTTTCAGCTGTATCTATTTTTCAGCTAATATCTACTTGTTTTTTTTATGAGGGTGTTCCGAAATAATATAGTCCAGAAGAAACTTTCTCAGGATTTCCACGAAGAAACATTTTTCTTTCAGCAAAAGTCATTAATAAACATTATTAAAAGAAGCTGTGGGATTTCCTTCCCTGAAACTGGCACTAAGTTAAATGTTCTCTTAAGATTCCTTTCATCGGGGCGCCTGGGTGGCTCAGATGGTTAAGCATCTGCCTTCGGCTCAGGTCATGATCTCAGGGTCCTGGGATTGAGTCCCACATAGGGCTCCTTCCTTAGCAAGGAGCCTGCTTCTCCCTCTGCCTGCCACTTCCCCTGCTTGTACTCTCCCTCTCTCTCTCTCTCTCTGGCAGATAAATAAATCTTTTTTTTAAAAAAAGATTCCTTTCATCAATGATCACTATACCTTTTGCATGTGATTGACATCTTACTTAGACTACCCCTGGGACAAAGAAATAAAAGGTATCTACTCATGCTTGCAAACTGAAAAATTTAGGGACAAAAGTGGTTAGTCTAAAACATATCCAGAACTAAAAGGCAGCAATCTCACTAATTACATAGTGTTTAAATAAAATATACACCTGTCATTCTCAAACACATGAAATTCTCATATATAGTTAAAATACCCATAAGGTGTATTTTATTGCTATCAAATTCAATACATTATTTATAGTGAATTGTGTGCAAGATAAGAATTCAAATAGAATTTGATCATTAGTTCTAATATGCATTATCACCCTGGACAATCAGTTAGCCTTAATGGCTTTAATTTCTTAATTCATAACATAGAGAAAATTTAGTTAGACTTGCTTGCTTAAAGACAAAAGGAAAAGAAGTTGAAGGACTAACTTTGAATTGAGGTTTTTCTAATTCTTTCTTTCTTTCTTTATTTGAGAGAGAGAGTGAGTGAGTGGGAGGGAGAGGAAGAGAGAATCTGAAGCAGACTCTGTCCTGAGTGTGGAGCTCCATGCGGGGCTCTATCTCATGACTGTGAGATCATGACATGAGCTGAAACCAAGAGTCCAAGACTTAAACAACTGAGCCACCGAGGCACCCTGAGGTTTTTCTAATTTTATAACCTGGTTTATATTATAAGTGTAATAGAGAATAATAAAGTCTGAAGGGAAGACCACTTAAAGAATACTTAAATGGTAACTTTGACAAATTGCTAGAGGCAGAGTGTGAAAAAGTACATGTGATGGTTAATTATATATGTCAACTTGGCTCAGCCATGGTGCCTAGATACTTGGTTGGACATTATTCTGGCCATTTCCATAAGGCTTTTATGGATGAGATTAACATTTACATGAATGGACTTTGAGTAAAAGAGACTGACTTTCATAATGTGGGCATGCCTCATCCAGTCAGTTGAAGGCCTTAAGGGACCAAAGGTTGACCTCCCCCAAGGAAGAAGGAATTCTGCCAGTAGACTGCTTTTGGATTTGAACTACAACTCTCCCCTGAGTATCCAGCCTACCTCATCAGATTTTGGACTTACCAAGCTTCCAGAATTGCATGAGCCAGCTCTTTAAAATTTTTCTCTCTCCATATATGTGTATATGTATATAAATACACACACATACATACACACGTTCTTTTGCTTCTGTTTCCTTGGAGAATCCTGACTCACACAATATGAGAATGAAAAACTCATACAATAAATTAGTTGGAGATTTCAGTACTTCACTTCCAACAATGGATCAACAAGGAAATGGAAGACTTGAACAACACTATAAATGAACTAGATCTAACATCTACAGAACACACTCTAGACAATAGCAGAATATACATTCTTCTCAAGTATACATGACAAATTTTTCAGCAGAGACCATACATTAAACCATAAAATGAGTTTCAATAAATTTAAAAGGACTGAAATCATACAAAGTATGTTATCTGGGCTGCAGTGAAATAAAATTAGCAAATTAAATCTTTATCGAAAATTCTCCTACAAAGATGGGCTTATTTAAAAACATTTAAGAAATAAATAATCTTACACAAACTCTTCCAGAGAATGATTGGGAATATTTTCCAAATCTTTTTTTTTATAATTTAAATTCAATTAATCAACATATAGTACACATCATTATTTTCAGATGTAGAGTTCAATAATTCATCAGTTGAGTATAACACCCAGTGCTCAAATCATTTTTTTAAAAAACTTATTTATTTGAGAGTGAGAGAGAGTGTGAGCGAGCAAGTGGCAGGAGGGGCAGCAGGAGAGACTCTTCAAGTAGACTCCCCGCCAAGCAGGGAGCCGGACGCGGGGCTCCTCCATCTCATGACCCATAAGAGCATGACTTGAGCC